CCGAGGCCCCCGGCTGGCTTTGTTCGCCAACGTGTGCCTTCCTCTCCCTCTTCCTTTGCTTTTGGAGAAGAGAAGTTGGTCCTTTCCGTGGTCTTACCTGTTGCAGCGACTCTGTGATGAATGGCTCTCACCCTGGGCAGGTGGGCAAATGCTGGATTGGAGCTCTCGCCCTAGTGTTTGTTTAACAGCGAAAACCCCTCGGGGAGTGGAATGGTCTTTGGGGAGAGTTAGTGCTTCCAGCTTCATAGAAACGAAGTTTGCCTCCCGAACTTGGGGGTTCCTAAGTCTTTCTCTAGTAGTCTTTTCAGAGTCTCCCCCCCCCCCCAAGGTTCATTTTCATGGTTTAGAAGCCCAGTGTAAACACTTTCGCTGTTTCCTGCAAAGATCTGTATGGGTATATGTGATCTATCAAAGTGTAAATCCACTCATTGGACAGACGCTCGGATGCCACTCTGTCAGCGGGGTGTTGACTTAGGTCCTGAAAATGAAGCAGTCCCTGCCCCGGGAGTGAAAAAATGCCAGTGTTCTAGCAGGTGGTGATGGGCGCCGTAAAGTTACATATCTATAGGGTGTCCCCCCGACATTATATATACCTTAACAGCTGGCCGCTCAATTGATGCTTCGCTTTTTTAGCATAATTCATTCAAGTTTTAAGCGGACAACTTGGTGTTGAATTAGGTCATTGGTAAACTTGTATGACTAAGCCCTCTAAGCTCTTCTTGGAGAAGATATGAACAAATTGGTCCAAATATAAACATCAGGTGGGCAGGGGCTGGTGGTGCTGTGAAGTTGAGAAACGCTGGAGGAGGGCGGCAGAAGAAAGGAACTTGCTGTCTTTAAGGATGTTCATATGTACTTCCGGAACGACCTTCTGGGATGACCTTCTGAAACGACCAGTGGGCGGAGGCAGGGCTGCTGTGAGGGCCGAACCCCTTGCATGAATTTTGCGCACCGGGCCTCTAGTAGTATGTAATTAAATGGTTGGGGGTGGGGGGTTGGCCTCTGCAAGCTGGACTCTGAAGTATGTTTCTTGGGCATCTGAGTATTTATTTTAATTAACTAATTTTGCGATGTGCAGTAGGCTCATTCAAACTAACATTTAGGAATTACTGCACAAAACCCTGAGGAATTTCCCTGCTGGTCCAGATTCATGCTGCTCTCCACCCTACCAACAGTTCTTCCTACATGAGTAGGACGAAGGGTTGCGTGCGCTTCCTGTATTTTATCCTGTGCTGCTGCTTTGGGTTACAGATTCTATAAGTTTACTTTTAGTTCTATGATAGCTTTTATTTATAGTAAGTTACCTATTCTAACTTATAATATTATAGGATTTGGTGAACAATTTTATGTCTACCCTTCATTTGGTGGACAACATTACCCTACGTTTTACAATACTCTTCTTAGGTCTCATTAACAGTTACTTACCTCTTAGAGAATTAATAGTCATCATCATAGCTAACATTTATTGAGCACTTACTAATATGTGCTTTACGTATATTGACTTATGTGACCTTCCTGACTCTGTGAGACATGCAGTATTATTCTCTGTAACTGAGGAACTTAGGGCCAGGGGTCTACCCAGTGTGTGCAGGGGCTTGGAGCTGTTACTTGACAGAGCCAGGATTCATTGTGTCATCGTTTACATTGTATCTACCCTAGGAAGCTCTGGGCTTTTGTTAGCGTTATTTTATAACCAGCTAGAAAGCTGCACCCATCATTGGAACTTCCGGTTTATACTATGTCTCCAGCATGCCCGTAAGTGTATCCAGAAGATTACCTAAGTGCCTTTTTAGAATCAAGATGTGCTGCCTGAGACACTATTCCAGGGCATTTTTTTAGGATGACCCCTTCCTCCTCCATACACACACACACACAGGCTGTTTTTAAAAGTTCGATACTAAGTCTCTACTTGCCCCTGTAACTCTTCTGGGGGAATGACTACAGCCACAGAACTCCTCAAGGGACAATTTAGGGGAGTATTGTGTGTAACACCCTTTAGGAAAAGTGAGTCTTCTAATTCATTTGTTGGACAACTTTATATCTGCCTCTCATTTTACATGCTTATTTATGTTATCTAGCGGTTTCAGCAGAAGAGAGAATAACATTGCGTTTTTCCAGTTATCTTATGCTGGTTTCTGATGGTCACTGCCATCTACATAAGCCAGTCATTTGTGAAAACATTGAGGAATTTTATTCCCTATCAGGCTTAATGGTCTGTGGCTTTTGTTACCTATTTACCTTTTGGGGGATATTCTGAAACTATTTCTTGCATTTGTTTTCTCACACATTCCCAGTTGTCCGAACTTGATCTCCCAAGTTCTGTCTGTGCCCTGGAGTGTAATTCCTCTGGGTTTAGGGACTTAAACTCATTTAAAGTGACTTTTATTATGTCTGTATATGTCTTAGGCTTGAGTTCTTTTTGAATCACATTTTTCTACCCTGTCCAGTTTGAAAATCAGCATATCTGTAAAAGGAGATTGACACCAAAAAGGAATGGCACGATTCTGCTTGCTTCTCTGTTAGCCACTTCTCTAACACAGTGGGTCAAGTCCTTTCTCCTTGCTTCTGACATAACAGAAACCATATTTTATTTGACCTCTGCTTCCCCCTCTCTTCCCCCTCCCCGCTTTAGGCTTCCTGGCTATTTCCTTGTGGCTCTGGATCACATTCTTTTGGTCATTTATCTTCCCCCATCTTTTTGTTTGTTATTTCTATTGATTTCAGAGAAAGGAATGGAGAGGGAGAGAGAGATAGAAACATCAATGATGAGAGAGAATCATTGATTGGCTGCCTCCTGCACGCCCCCTACTAGGGATTGAGCCTGCAACCCAGGTATGTGCCCCGCCTGAGAATCTAATCTTGACTCTGGTTCATGGGTCGATGCTCAACCACTGAACCACACAAGCTGGGGCTCTTCCCCCGTCTTTAATGTCCCTTTACAATCTTTTTAAAGAGATCATCATCATACAGCTAGGCACTGCTGATGTACATACATTACGAACTTGGAAGAGGGAGAGGAAGTTTGCATTTGTATTGCAAAGATATTGTAAGAATCCAAATATCTATCTGTATCAAAGATGTATATTTTCATGCATTTTAACACTTTTATTGTTTTGTGACTTTAGCTAAATGCTCTGTTGACTCTTAAGAATCAGCCCGGCTGGTGTGGCTCGGGTTGAGCATCGACCTATGAACCAGGAGGTCACGGTTCCATTTCCGGTCAGGGCACATGCAGGGTTGCAGGCTGGACCGGCTGCCAAGGATTCTCTCTCATCATTGATATTTCTACCTCTCTCTTCCTCTCCCTTCCTCTATGAAATCAGTAAAACTATGAAAAAAAATAATTAAGTACATCTCTCTCATCCTCATTGCTTATGTCCATCCTAAGAAGGTGGAAACCAGCCTATGAATAATGGCAACATTTATTCTGATCCTTTTTAAAAAATCACCATTTTGTGAATATATGCTTATTTAGCTTTAAGCTTGTATTTGATCTTTTAAATGCATGGCATACTAAAATTAACAAAACTGGTAGAAAAGTTTTGTATATATATTTTGTATGTAAAATTTTGTACATATTGTTATTGTAGCCTCAGTAATATAAACATATTTCTAGAGTGAAATGTTTATCTGATAGTTTTTATCTCTCTTATTTCCAGGTTGGCTCAAAAGCAGAAGTTGCTCAGTGTAAACAGAAATTTGCCAGCTCTCCAGACCCCGCCATCAGCCAGACCTTCATGTTGGACAGGGCGTTCAACCCTGAGGGGAAGGCTTTGCCCCCACTGAGAGGGTTTAAGTACACCACCTGGTCCCCCATGGGCTGCGATGCTAATGGCAGGTGCCTCTTGGCAGCTCTGACCCTGGACAATCGCCTGACCATCCAGGCTAACCTCAACAGGCTGCAGTGGGTCCAGCTGGTCGACCTGACTGAGATTTACGGAGACCGTCTCTTTGAGACCAGTTACAGGTTCTCTAAAACCGAGGCCCCCGGAGGGAACCTGGCGGACTTTGCTGAGTTCCAGAGGAGACACAGCATGCAGACGCCAGTGAGGATGGAGTGGTCGGGCATCTGCACCACGCAGCAGGTCACGCACAACAATGAGTGCCGGGACGTGGGCAGCGTGCTCCTGGCCGTCCTCTTTGAAAACGGCAACATCGCTGTGTGGCAGTTCCAGCTGCCTTTCGTGGGGAAGGAGTCCATCTCTTCCTGCAACACAATCGAGTCGGGAATCAGCTCTCCAAGTGTCTTGTTTTGGTGGGAATATGAGCACAATAATCGGAAAATGAGTGGCCTTATTGTGGGGAGTGCCTTCGGACCCGTAAAAATCCTCCCTGTCAATCTCAAAGCCATTAAAGGCTATTTCACGCTAAGGCAGCCCATTGTCCTGTGGAAAGAAATGGACCAGTTGCCCGTGCACAGCATCAAGTGTGTGCCGCTCTATCACCCTTACCAGAAGTGTAACTGCAGCTTGGTGGTGGCCGCCAGAGGACCCTATGTGTTCTGGTGTCTCCTGTTGATCTCCAAGGCAGGTCTGAATGTTCACAATTCCCACGTCACGGGCCTTCACTCGATGCCCATCGTTTCCATGACGGCAGACAAGCAGAACGGGACCGTATACACTTGCTCCAGCGACGGCAAGGTGAGGCAGCTGATTCCCATCTTCACTGATGTCGCCTTGAAGTTTGAACACCAGCTGATTAAGCTGTCAGAGGTGTTTGGCTCAGTGAGGACACACGGGATAGCGGTGAGCCCCTGCGGTGCGTATCTGGCCATCATTACAACTGAGGGCATGATCAATGGCCTCCATCCCGTTAACAAAAACTACCAGGTCCAGTTTGTTGCTCTCAAAACTTTTGAAGAGGCAGCTGCTCAGCTCTTGGAATCTTCGGTTCAGAACCTCTTTAAACAGGTAGATTTGCTAGACCTCGTGCGCTGGAAGATTCTGAAAGATAAATATATCCCTCCGTTTTTACAAGAAGCTTTGGAAAAGAAGATCGAAAGCAGCGGGGCCACCTACTTTTGGCGTTTCAAGCTTTTTCTCCTGAGGATTTTGTATCAGTCGATGCAGAAAACCCCTTCCGAAGCTTTGTGGCAGCCCACCAAGGAGGACTCGAAAGTCTTGCTAGTCGACTCCCCTGGGATGGGCCCCATGGAGGACGAGCAAGAAGAAGGCACGTCCTCCAGACAGGCGAGTAAGCAAGGCCTTCAGGAGAAGAGCAAAGAGGGGGACCCGGACGACCCCGCCGATGACTCCCTCACCCAGGCGGGAGATGTCGGAGGCCATGAGCCGATGGAGGAGAAACTGCTGGAAATCCAGGGGAAGATCGAAGCTGTGGAAATGCACTTGAGCAGGGAGCACATGAAGCGGGTCTTGGGAGAAGTGTACCTGCACACGTGGATCACGGAGAACACCAGCGTCCCCACCAGGGGGCTCTGCGACTTCCTCATGTCTGACGAGGAGTATGACGACCGGACAGCGCGGGTAGGTGTTGGTCGGCAAGAACGCTGAGACTGAAAAGCCTGCTGTCCTTGGGGCCTGATTGAGTTTCTAAAGCTTGGTTTGTGCTTTGAGGTGGTTGAGCGGCCGGGGTGCTGGAGGGACTAGGAAACGAGGGTTGGTGCAGAGGACATGCTCCTGTCACACACAGAAGTTCTGTTCTTCCTCTCAGTGACTGAGCGATGTGCGGGTTTTCAAGACGAGGTTTCCAGGCTGAGGGCGCACTCCGCGCTGTTCTCCCCGCCATCCCCACCTTTTCTCATGTTCTGTCCCCTTTGGGAGGAATAGCCCCCACTGAGAAGGCATGGGTTAAAGTAGCAAACAGTTGGGTGTGCACGTGCAAGGCCCTTGGGAGCCAATAGCAGCAGCCCTTCCTGGTGTAAAATCCGAGCACGTCTCCACGGGGAGAAAGCAGGCTTTGTCACGGTCAGGGTGTTTGGCCGGCCTAGAAAAGGGAGGGTGCTTGTCCCTGCTGTAAGGACCATAATTAGAACTTGAAGGCAAAAAAACAACAACAAAAAAACCAAAAGTTAACGGGCTTTACATCTGTAAACTGCGTACAGGGTAAGTAGGTAAGACCCCCTTCAGACGCCAGTAAACTAATTGTGGGGAATGGCAGGTGTAGAGGGGCCGTCTGAGGCTTCGAGCTCTGTGTAAATGGGTTAAAAATGTCAAAGGACATTAACTGCTAGTGAGACAAGATGTTTCTGAAGGGCTGGGGTTCCCATCCCAGTGAGACAGCCACGAAGGTTTTTCCAACAAAAGAATGAAGTCGATCAGTGTTCTTGAGACTTTCATTGTTGAAGTAGTAGTGTAACCCCAAGACCAAAGCAGAGAAAGGGGAAGCTGAAATTGGGACTAGGCCTCGCACCAGCCTGTCGACCTCTCCCGCCTCCTCCACTCCCACTGTGGGTCCCGCCCCACCCTGCCTCTCTGCAGGTCAGTGGATCTCACACTGCAGGCGACTGAACCGGATCGCTCAGGGGTCTTGGGCCATCAGAAGGGGAAATTATTATTTTTTAATCCTGGTTATCTTTTCCTTTGTAAGCCTTTCTTGAAGAATAGACATTTGTACAAGTCTACCAAGTTAGTATTTCACATAATACTTTGCTTACAGAAATTAATGCTTTTCCTTCTTAAAATTAGAATATTGTAAGTAATAGCTAAATACTTTGTCTTCTAACAGAACTCCGAAGTCCTTGTTTCAGAAGCAACGAAAACAAGGCAAGTAACAGATTGTGGTTTTCAGAACAGTTTTTCCTTTAGTGGTCACAGTCCACCCTGTTGTCAGAGGTCCCTGAAAGAGCAGATTTCGCTCAGCCAGTTGACACAGTTGAAGGCCTAGTCTTTTCACTTCCCGGACAGTGTGATGGAAATGAAATCTCCTGTCTGGGTGCAAAGCTGCATCATTGTTCATTTCATTGGTGCCGGGCAGCCCTGCCCTCTCCGCTGAACATCGCCGCCTGCTTTGTCTCACCAGGTGCTGATTGGCCACATCTCCAAGAAGATGAACAAGCAGACCTTCCCTGAGCACTGCAGTCTGTGCAAGGAGATCTTGCCTTTCACGGACCGCAAGCAGGCGGTCTGCTCCAACGGCCACATCTGGCTCCGGTAAGCCTCCACCGCCAGGCCCTGCTCTCGCGCCCGGTTCACTTTCTCACTTTCATGTAGGCAGAGCACTGCAAGGGGCTCCTCCCCAACGTAGCTGCCCCTGCGGCTGGAGAAGCTGCTGCTGTCAGACCTGGCACAGGGGTGCTTCTTCGGGCTGGCCAAAGCCAGGCGCCTGCAGCGGCGAGGCGTACTGCCTGGCACACACAGGAGTTTCTTTATGTGGGGAGTGCTGTTTTCCATCAAAGTAGCATTGCATTTTTAAAATGGCTATTACTGAAGTAACACCTGTTAAAGTTAGTGGAATATAAAAGCACTGATGTGCTTTTTTTGCTTAACTTTATAATAAAAGGTAGAAGTCCTCCTCCTTCTCTGCCCTTAGTCTCACTCCAAACTCAGCATGTCCTCGTTTAGTGGACACAGTGGGCAACTCCCCCCTCCCCCTCCTCCTCTCCCTCCTTCTTCCTCTTTTCCCTCCCCTCTTCTCCTTCCTCCTCTTCCTCCTCCTCCTCTTCCTCCCCTCCCTCCTCCTCCTCCTCTTCCTTCTCCTTCCTCCTCTTCCTCCTCCTCCTCTCCTCTTCCTCTCCTCCTCTCCTCTCCCTCTTCTTCCTCCTCTTCCTCCTCCTTCTTCTCCTCCCCCTCCTCCTCTTCCTCCCCCTCCTTCTTCCTCCTATTTCTTCTCCTCTCCCTTCTTCCTCCTCTTCCTCCCCCTCCTCTCCTTCCTCCTTCTCCTCCTCCTCCTTCCTCTTCCTCTTCCTCCTCTCTTTCCTCCTCCACCTGAAGCACTTCCATCACTGGCTTCCTGGACACAGCTCTCCCTGCTATTCTCCCTGCCTCTGACCCTTCTTAGCTGTCTGCTTCACGTCCTTACTGTCCATGTAGCAGCAGTCAGCTCATGACCGACATCTCGAGCACCAACGGTGTGGCAGGTGCTCTGCTGAGCGGTGCGCGTGTCCTGAGTCACTATTCTCACAGCCACTGTGCATGGGGACACGGCGGTGATTTCATTTCTACAGATGAGGCAACTGGCCCCTGGGGAAGGCAGATCATTTGCTCCGTCACACAGGTGGTGGATGGCAGAGCTGGAGCCTGGTGTTCCGGCTGCAGAGCTCACAGGAGTAGCTGCCACGCATCATAGTCTCTCAGATGGGCTCTCTAACAGCAGGTACCCTCGTGTTTGCTGATTGGAGTTAGTGCCAGATCGCCTCCGTCTCATTTCTCCACGGGAGAGGGTGCTGGCTCTCACCAGGTGTGAGCTGCTTCCTGTACGCCCAAGTCTCCTCAGAGCGAGCCTGCTTGGAATCTCTTCCTCCCTCCTCTTCCTCTTTGAACTTTTCTGCTCCTTGGCTGCTCAGCTTAAAAACTGTTGTCTTTTGGGAAAACCTCCCGTGCAGACCCAAATGCACTCCTTCCCATCTCCTTGCGTTCCCCGCCCTGCCTGGCCTGGTCCTGGGAGAGGTGCGTGAACAGCATCGGATGGACTTGAGCCTGGGCACATAGGTTCTCGCCCTTTCTTTTTCACACCATTCATTTTGTCTTCTCTCTCCTTCAGGTTTCCCCACTGTGCTGTCAGGTTCTTAAACACAGTGCTGGTCCCCAATCTTAACAGTCACTCACAAGAATAACGGTCAGTGTGCTAGGTGGTCAGTTGTCAGCATACCACCCAGCCCCAGCCCAGTCAGGGAGGGACAGACGTCTCCCAGTGCTGAGCACGCGGTGACCGTCTGCGTTAGCAACTATCTGTCGCTGGGCACTGACAGGCGCGTCCCTCGGTGTGGGTGCGGGCCCAGCGGCTGCAGAGGGGTGCGGGGTTGCCATGAATTTGTGAGCAATGTCTGCCCTTTACTTGGTTAGCGTGGCTTTTAGTGTGACTGGTGCGTTACGCTCAGCACGGCCGCTTTCCAGTGTTGGTAGAACTGACGATACCATGTCTTCTTTCAGGTGCTTTTTAACCTACCAGTCCTGCCAGAGCCTGATCTACAGAAGGTGTTTGCTCCACGATAGTATTGCCCGCCACCCGGCTCCGGAAGGTGAGTGAGCCTCTCCCAGCTTCGGGGGGGGGCATGCCGGCCGGGTCAGGCTCACACTGCCCCTCACAGTGTCACCATGAAGCCACAGCTAATTAAAACGGTGATCGGGATATGTCGCTATCAAACCCCTGCTGCATTTTAGCGTGTAAGTTTGCCGCCTGCTCCTGTAAGTTATTCGTTCAGAACATGCCCGCACTTCTTTTACCTGACAGGTCTAGATTACATTTGAATGAAAACTGCAAATGGTAATGCCTGCGAGGACAGCATTGCTGGGCAGCTCCGGGTGTGCGCGTGGAGTCCTGCTTCTAGCAGCCGTGACGGGGCTGCAGTCCTCGATGGCCCAGTGGCAAAGCCCACGTTTCTGAGATAACTAATCTGAGATGAGATTAGCGATATGGACAGGAATTAGCGACGCAGACAGCCCGATAAATGTCACAGTTATGCCCTGATGTTCACTAACATCACACTAACCACATGCGCTAACTAGACACAATTATGTCCGTGTTCTGGGGGAACCTGTGGGCTCAGTGAAGTGAAGCAGAAGACATTCCGCATAAAAACACACCCTTAGGCTTGGCTTCTTACCTGGCAGCTTATGTCCTTTTTATTATAGAAAATGCCATCAGCCCTAGCCAGTGTGGCTCAGTGGATAGAGCGGCAGCCTGTGGACTGAAGGGGCCCGGGTTTGATTCCGGTCAAGCGTACATGCCAGGGTTGCGGGCTTGATCCCCAGTAGGGGGCATGCAGGAGGCAGCCAATCAATGATTCTCATCATTGATTTTTCTCTCACTCTTCCTCTCTGAAATCAATACAAATATACATATATATATATATGAAAATGCCATCATATACAAAAGTAGAGAAAAGAGTTTAATAAATCCTTATGTGCCCATCATTCAACTGCAAAAATTGCCCACTCACAGCCTTTTATGTTTCATCCGTGGTTCCCCATACTCTTCCCTCCTCTTACTGGATTATTTTGAAACAGATTTGGGGGATTTATAAACACTCCCTGAAAGCTGCTATACCATTTAGGCAGAAAGTCAGGAAAAGATTGAAACAAGTTTTAAAAGCAAATGCCCTGCGGGTGACTGGGCGTTGAGCCACGTCGGCTTTGGGCAGGAGAAGCTGCGGGTCTAGAGGAGAAAGTGGAGCTCAGCGGGGCCACGGGTTAGCCCAGCCTCGCTTAGAATGCTGGGTGGGCGCTTTGTCCAGGGGCACAGAATGCCGCCCGGACACGGCAGCTCGCTCACAGTCATCCCACGGGCCCCTTCCCGAAGCCCACGCTCAGCGCCTGTCTTCCTTGCAGACCCCGACTGGATCAAGAGGCTGCTGCAAAGCCCCTGCCCTTTCTGCGACTCTCCTGTCTTCTGACCGGCAGCGGTGGAGTGGACTGTGATCTGCGGGATAGTCCGGCCGGAGAGGGGCTGGACCTGGCCTGCGCAGGGAGGGGCGCTCCTCGTGGCTGGAAAGGGGCCGAGTGATTCCGAGTGCAGCCTCCGTCTCCGCGGCGAGAGGCATCTGTAAGTGACGGGGCGCCGAGCCCGGCATTGAGGTGAACGTCAGCCCCACTCCGTGCCCAGCGAGGAGCACTTGCTTTTAAAGCGTCTTCATTGAAGCAGTTTGAACAAACACCCTGTCATTTCTAGGAACGGAGATTTCTAGAGACTGGAGAAGGGCCTGTGGGCTCCGTGAGGACTTAATCCTGGCCTGGGTCCAGGACAGCCTTGTGGCTCCAGAGAGCGGAGGTGGCCGGGCACGTGGTGGTCAGTGTCCAGCAGATGCTCACAGTGTCTGAGCGTGGGGCCTGCTCTGTCCCCAACAAATAGCCGTGGAACCGGATCCGCTGGTTCTTGTCTGAAAACATTTTCCTAAACTATATTTTTAAGAGGTTGAAGCCAAGACTAAAATTGGGTTTCGTGTGTCCAAAGGCCAAGTGACTCTTGTAAAGGAATAATTGTGACTCACTTTTAATGATCTCGTGTCATCAGTTTCCTACCCCAACTCCTCAGTGTGTAAGGATGTAGGCACTCCAGCTCAGGCGGCCACGCCCGCTTCGAACCGAACTGTGGTACCAGAGCGAGACGTCTGTGCATAGAAAAGAATGTTTTCTTCTTTCAGTATTAAATCGTGGAGTGCTTTTAATGTTGACATTTGCGGAAGGTTCACGTCTGTCCGGCCAGAGTCTGCCTAGAGACTGCCAGACAGACGGCAGGCACTTGCGCCTGCTGTTACAACACGGTGTCTCTCAATGGGCAAAGAGATGTTCAGTGTTCATTGGTTTTAAAACCTAAAACAACAAGCAGCCGTTCTGGGGTGACAGCGTTGGGCTTTTACAGGCAGGTCCCAGGGACGGTGCTGATCGGACGGCTGGGACTGCCGCACACGGCGTGGCACGGGCGCAATTCTGGGAAGTTGGGCGGGAAGTACGAGGTGGAATTTGGACTCATCCTGCCTGCCGTCTAGTTTGCCTTGACTACCACAGTTTCCTGCTTTTACTTTGTATCCTTAGTGAAAGTCATTTTGCCTCACTTGCTATTTCTCATTTTGGTGGTAACTTCAAGAGAAGCTCTATCCAGCCTTTAGTGTCGGGTACATTAAGTTGATTTTCAAGAAAGAGGACCAGTCAGCATTAGAATCATGACGAGCACAGCGGCAGGTGTGTGGTTGCAGCCACTTTATGCCTGTAGCCTGTCACTTCACCCATAAATGTGACAGTAACAATTGGGATCCTGTCAGGGCGTCATTGCCGTTTTAATAATCATGGAATGCTTCGTTCACTTCCGTTTTTGTTCCCACTCAGAGTCAGTAGCTGTGTTGTTGGAGAACGTGGCACTGCTGCCATTTAAGATGCTAAGTATTTTTTTAAAGCACTTGTGCGTTTGGGGGAAACTGAATTATTGGGAGTTAACTGAAGAGGGCCTCCCTAATGAATTATTTTGTGTGTCTATATAGGAATAATCATGCCACTCTTTTACCAGAACATGGCTTCTCCCCCTGGGGACTGAAGCGCAACCTGCTGCCTCCCAAATTCCCGCCTCCCATCCGTGGAGGTGAGCCCGCCAGCCTGGGAGCATGAGGAGCTGAGGGGACGGCAGCATTTTTAATCCTCACGTGACTGAGGATATGCTTTTTATTGATTTTTAGAGAAAGGGAGAGAGAGAGAAACGTTGATCAGTTGCCTCTCGCACATGCCCCACCAGGGGTTGAGCCTGCACCCTAGGTATGAGGCCTGACTGGGAATGAAACGTGTAACGTTCGGGGTACGGGATGACAGTCAGCCAGCTGAGCCACACCGGCCAGGGCAGGAGGCCTAGATTTTTTAAAGGACAGGTGTATCTGCCCTGTGTTCCTGTTAGAGACGGGGCAGCACACACAGAGAGACAGGTGATGAGTCTCTTTATAGTTGGCCCCGCACCGACAGCCTCGAGCCTCTGCCTGGCGTGGCCATTCGCCGTGACTGTGTGTGTCATGCTTTGGCCGCCTTCTGTGTGCTGGGGGGTCAGCAATGCAGTGACCTGCAGGGTGTGTCCAGAGTCCTCTTCCCTCAGGGTCTCACCCCCGCGCATGGTTTTCAGGTTAGTTTTTAGTGAAGTGTCCGCTGGCAGCCTTAACCAGGGTTTTAGATTGTGTCTCAAGTCTCAGAGTTTTAAACTTCATCTGTTTCTTGAATCTAAAAGGGGCGTTTGGAGTTAAGAACTTCACGTCTGCTGACATGATCTCTGCTCTTCACACTGACTCTAGAGCACGTGAAATGTGACTTTTCTCTAATGAAGTCAGATTTGCACGTGTGGAGCGGCTTCCTGTGATCTCAGTACTGCAGCCTCGTACCCGATGCAACTGCCGGGTGTGCGGGGCCTGTGCTGGCTCCCAGGGCCCCGCGCTCCGTCAGTGTGAGGACTGTCAGCTGAGCTGAGTCCGCACTGTCAGCTGGTCAAGGGCCTCCCACATGCAGATACAGCTTAAGGCAGGGCTGTTTCTGAAAACATGGTGTGAAATTAATGAACTTAACAGGGAAATGGCTTAAAGGTGTCCTGTGAAGAGCTTAATCCTTTTGCGTGTGAATCTTTCTCCCCGTCTTTATCCAGTTGGGTGGCTCAGCATTTTGTAGCTTGCCTTTCTTTTGAGTGATAAATGTACTCTCGTGGGGAGACTTAATACACCATGAGGCCCTGGGAGTGAGTTTGGCTATAGCAGTACTGCAGGGGGTGCCACACGGTGTCTGTCCATTCATTCCCGGCTCGGGGGGAGTTGAAAAGGGGCAGGTGGAACTCATGCCGACAAAGCAGGGGTGTAGGCTGTCTGGTTGAAATACTGTAAATGGGTCGGGAGAGGTACATTTCAGAACTCGGAATGTCATGTGTGTTTATGAGGTCAAAAATGGTTTACTTCGCCATCGTGACATCCTGTTACTTGCACAGGAAGATCCTGTAAAGTGGTCGCATTAGAGGATGTAAGAGGCTGTGGCGGCCTTGAGGCATTTCCGACTTCATCAGTTTGTCACTTGGCTAACAGACTGGGTGGGTTCAGGGTGTTTGGTTTGGGTTTGGGTACTAGTTAGAATTAAATGCAAAAATCAGTTAAGTCTTTTCAAGACTGACTCAGATTTGTACTTTAATGTATGAAAGGAAAGGGAATAATCAAATTTGTTTATACAAAAATAACACTGTATAAAAAAAGGAAGTCTGTGTTGTGTGTACTGATATGTAGTTTATGTTTACCCAGTGCCCATGCTATAATCTTTGTGTTCCGCTTTGAATTTTTGTATGTTTACATATGACATTTTTTTGAAATAAAAAGAACAGGCATTTAGAAACTTAAGGTTAGCCCTAGCCGTTTTGGCTCAGTGGATAGAGCATTGGCTGGTGGACTGAAAGGTCCCAGGTTCAATTCCAGTCAAGGGCACATGCCCGGGGTTGTGGGCTCGATCCCCAGTAGGGGGCATGCAGGAGGCAGCTGATCCATGATTCTCTCTCATCATTGATGTTTTTCTCTCTCCTCCCTCTCTGAAATCAATAAAAAAATATTTTAAAAAATAAAAACTTAAGGTTATAAAAGGGAGATTTTGTTTAAAAATTTTGCCATCTGATTAGGTGGTGTGTTAAGACTTCGTGTTTAAATGATAACTTTAAGAATAACCCTTTTGCTTGGAATATCCCGCCATCCAGAAAAATGGCGGCTTCCCTCCATTGCACATGTGTACATAGCGTTCATTGTTAGACTGTAAACTCTAGGGCAGGGACTGTCCGTTTCGTCTTGGTACTTCCGGCAGCACCGAGTTCAAGCACCGTTTGCGGGAAGGTGCTGTGGTCCGGAGTGGGAGGGAGGAGCCCCTGCCACCTTTAAGATGGGGCGCGGCTCACTTCTCCCAGGCGCTCAAAACTGCAAAGAACTCACCACCCAAGTGGGTCGACTTCTTTCTCGGGTTGAACCAGACCGTGCCAGATCCTCCGCACCAGCCAGCCTTCCTCTCCTGAACACAGTGCCCCGGCGCCCTGAGCTTCTCTCTCACGTTAGGGCAGCGGGTTCTGGGGAAGTCTGAAGAGGGAAGATTCTAGAGAAAATGTAGTGGAAGTCTCGGAGGGTGTCTATGTCACTGCGTAGCCCTGTTTTTCCTAAAGAAGGCGTAACAGACCCGCTGTCTCTACCAGTCAGCTGCCAGCCAGCTCTCCAGCTAACGAAAGACCTCTGATGTTAGCTTTCTCCATTTTGGATGTCCCTGTTGCTCATCTGATTCTAGTCCTTAGAATCTAATAAAGTTGCTGTGAATATCCAGTGCTGTACATAACGACAGTTTTGTAAAAATGTGATGAAATAACCTCAAATATGTTGTGTTTTGTATGCAGAGCCACTAGTATTGTTACCCCAGCCAGCTTTTTATTCAAAATAAAAAAATAACAGAATTATTTGTATATTGAGTGCGTATCTTAGCAGGTTTGCATGAGTTGTAGAGAAGCTCGGAAGCCTCCCTCGGCCTGACAGCAGCAGGAGAAGCTGTGCCCAGGAGAGAAATGGCCATTGCCAACTACCTCGGGAGTCCATCAGCCTCCGCTTTATTCCACTAAACACATGAGGGGAAATAATCAACAGAGCATCAATAGCGTGAGACCACACATTGTCCACATCAGGTAAATAGCACCTGGTGGTTACGGAAAACCAAGTACCGAATGCAATAATTGCACAACAATAAACATGAACTCAGACCAGCACTCCTGCTGACAACCAGAAAAGCTAGACAAACACCAGCCAGGATAAATAAAATGAAAAAACACACCTAACGGTATCATAAGACTGCTGAAAATCGGAGACAAAAAGGTTCTGAGCAGTGAAAGAAAAGAGGTCACTTTAAAAGGAGGGTAGATGACTGAGCGGGTTTACTGATGGGAACGGTGGCAGTGAGCTGGCGCTGGGAGGCCCATCCCAGTGCTGCCCCGAGCACTGTTCCCTGGAAGCAGCCCCTCCGGCCGCACTGGGCTCTGGTGGCCCAGGAGGCAGAGCCGTCGGAAACAGCAGCCTCTGTGTGGGACTAGCTGCCCGATCACGGTGTCAGGAGTCGGAAAACCAGCTCTGGGAGGAGGATTGGTCCCGGGTCATTACCGGGGAACCACCGGAGAATCGGTGCCTCCACGGCCACGCTGAGACTTGGTGGGTTAGAGGTTCTGAGCCCAGGGTGGGTCGTGTTGAACCTGAAATTGATTTCTGCCTGAGCATTTATGGCCCTTGTACCGTGGGGCCTTGACTTACAAGTGTCCCGACTAATGAGTTTTTCTAGATACAAGCCGTCTCTCGGCCGATTTTTTGCTTTGAGTTGCGAGCTAAAATTTGGGTTATGAGCCAGCTTCAGATACCCCACCGCTAGTTGGCGCAGCGAACGTCACAGTGAACGCCACAACATCAGCCCAGTATCAGTGTCTCACTCGTTCACTTTATGATTTGACATACAAGTAATTTGAGTTACGAGCTCCATCACGGAACGAATTAAACTCGTAAGTCAAGGCCCCACTGTATTACCTCTCAGTTTTCCCTTGTGGTGAGGTTCGGTCCTGTTTTTCTCTCCTGATCCCCAGTGGGGGGCACACAGAGCATACTGCACTGCAGGGCTACAGCAGGTGAGCCCTGGGGCTGGGGCTGCGCCTGCGGATCCTCTGTGGAAGGCTTGTTTCACAGATAATGCGGGCCCTGCACTGCAGGGCTACAGCAGGTGAGCCCTGGGGCTGCGCCTACGGATCCTCTGTGGAAGGCTTGTTTCACAGATAATTCGGGCTCCCACCTGCACCATCCGCGCGATGACTCAACGTGGGCAGCTGAAGGGCGGCTGGCAGAAACGCCCCCTGCCTCTCGCCGTGCCCTGTGGCCGGGTCCAGTGTTGGACGGCGTCCGCACCCGAGCATGTGTCTTTCTCGTACCCCATGAACTTGCTTGATTGTGAGATGGCAGTCGTGTTGGGGAGTCACCTTTCCTCAGGGTGACTCCAAAATGGGGTGGGAAATGATGGATGAACATGGTCTCTGGGAGGGAGGGTTTTGAGGGGTGTTGCACATGGAGGATCCCCGTGGGACTGCACCCAGGTGCCTGCGTCGGGGCCTGCCTGTTACCTAGATTGTGTTGGCTCTCCCTGTCCTGTCTCCCATCCCCACCCCAACACCCCTGCTGAAGCCACAGTCTGGTCTCAGGGTCTGCTGTGATGGGAACCCAAATAACAGGTGCAAAAACCCCAAATGAAATATTACCAAACTGAACTTATATCACAACCAAAGTGATTCACTCTAGGAATAAACCTGTAGTTAAAAATACTGTAATGTACACATTTGTTATTGAAAAATTTGTCAAGAGAGTAGACCTCATGTTGTACTCTTACCACAGTAAAAAAAAAAAAGAAAGAAAGAAAAGAAAGAACGTTACAGCCCGGCCAGTGTGGCTCAATGGTTGAGGGTCAACCCAGGAACCAAGAAGTCACCAGATCGATTCCCAGTTGGGGCACGTGCCTGGGTTGCAGGCTCAGTCCCCAGTAGGGGGTGTGCAGGAGGCACAGCCAATCAATGATGTTTCTCTCTCATCAATGTTTCTGTCTCTCTATCCCTGTCCTCTTTCTAAAAATCAATAAAGGAAAAAAAAATTGTTTAAAAAGTTACAGGGCAGTAATCCCACTGGTGTTCGTGCCCACTGATCTGTCCACCTGTCTGTCCATCTATCCATCCATCCACTCACTCCAAACTTTTCACTCGGGTTATTTCTAATAAATGACAATAATGGGTTTTATCGTAGTGAGGACGGGAGTTTCACTATCAGATATGTTTCTGTTGTATGATTTTTTTAAATAAGTAACATTTTAATATTTATAATGTCATGATATTTCTATTTTTAAATGAAAGCATGTCCCATGATCAGCTAATATGCTTTTATTTTCTTGCCTCTGAACCCTCACATGTGCCTCAAAACTCAGCCCCCAAGTCACTTTCATCTCCCCTGGTCTCCCATGAGCCCCGCCCGTTCCCACTGAGTCAACTCTGCTGATGTCTTAGGTAGCGGCCAGCGCTGTCGTTAGAACAACAGGGCACATCTCCAGACAGTCCTAACCACACCGCTGCCACCAACCTTGGATGCCCGAGGCAAAGAGGTGCATGCTGGGAGGACAGAGATGTAGCCTAGGACCCAAGGGCAGAAGTGGGTCTCAGGAACCATCAGGAATCAGATGGTTCTCTCATTTCTGCCATCTTTGTAGGACGCAAGCCTCAGGGGGCAGCGGTTTTGTCCCGGTTTTCTGTCCTGCACCCCCAGTGCGGGGCACACAGTAGGCCCTGGGTAAATGTGTTGAATGAGTGAAAGGGGGGCATTGCTGCCTCAGATGTCCTCCTCCCTGCAGGCCGCCAAGAGAGTGAGCAGCTGCCCCCGTTCTCTTTCCAAATTCTTGGGCCGGAGAAGCTGATGGGGCAGCTGGGCGCCACCAGCAGGTGCAGCGCGGGTCTCATCCGCTGCCGGCAGGTCCCACAGAGAAACACCTGTGGAGGCTGCGGGTGGGGGTGGGGGACCCCACAGGGGCCCCTGCACCGCCTGCATTTCCCACTGTGGGGGAGCAGGAGGGAGGGGACTTCTCACGCAGACAGGAGCCAGGGTGTCCCGCTGGGAGCCGAGCGAGGCGAGAGTTTGTGGTGACCACTTATGATAAAAGAGGTTGAAAATGAACCAAGGACTTACATTCACGGCAACATCGGAATGATCTGTTCTCTTGCAAGTGAATCCGACCTCAGTGACCTTCAAGCACAGCCCCCATCTGGACGTTAACAAGACATTGCCCCTCGGGCAGCAGGACGGAGCCTCTTGGGGCCAGGAAGCTCCCAGACCACCCAGCGGGAACAAGATGCTAATGACCCGCCCTCCGCCCAGTTAGGCCGCAATCTGCCGCCTGGGCGCCAATTAGAGCCGCAGCCCACGGCCCCAGCTGGCAGGAGCGCGGCCTGCAGAGCAGGGAGGGAGGAGTCTTCTGTTCCCCGCCTGTCCTGGGCGTGTCCTGGGCAGCGACCTACAGGAGCCGGAGCTTGTTGGGCCCACCCAGTGGGCGCCCAGCGCATCTCAATGAGACCGGAGCTGAGCCAATGTCCAGCCAACACCAGCGGAGGGGCCAGGATGCGGGGGACGAGCTCGGGGTGCTGTCCCACAGCTCGCCCACACCTGCTGGGGGTGCCACGCCGCCTCACGGGTGGCCCTAGTCCAGGCACTTGGGTCCTGGCCCTTCTGCTGATGGACAGGGCAGTTCTATACACGCTCAGCTGTTCCCCAAGACTCGCTAGGACCCCGTACAGGTCAGACTTCAGGTCCCACTGGAGCGGCTCCGCCGGGGCCTGCAGAGCCCACAGCGCCCAGGAGTGGCCTCGGAGGACAGACAGCCGGGTCCTGGCCCTTCTGCTGATGGACAGGGCAGTTCTAGACACGCGCAGCTGCTCCCCAAGACTCGCTAGGACCCCGTACCCGCCAGACTTCAGGTCCCACAGCACCCAGGAGTGGCCACGGAGGACAGACAGCTGCACCTTAGGCTGAGCTCCTTAAAACCGGCGGCTGGAGTCGTGGTGAGAATGAGGCAGGGCCTGCGGGCGGTTACCGTGCCTAGTGGTGTGCGGCCCCATCCTCAGCCTCTCGCTCATTTCACCCCACAGGCCTGCTCGGTGCTGCCAGGAGGCAAGGACTTGGTCTCATTTTACAAGGCCCGAGATTGCCCGAGGTCACACAGCCTCATGGGACCCAGGCTGCTTCTTCCACAGCCCCGCTTGGCAGCCTCACGTGCCTCAAAGTGCTGCCCCGGGGGTGCAGGGGTGGGACTGCTCTGGGGGGGAGCCAACGGTGTGGGCCACCCAGAGAGCAGGTGGTAAAGTAAGCATCAACGGGTAACTGAGGAAATGACTGCTTGCCCTGGCGGGGATGGCCCAATGGATAGAGCATCGGCCTGTGGACTGAAGGGTCCTGGGTTTGATTCCCAGTCAAGGGCACATACCTCGGTTGCAGGTTTGATCCCCAGCTCTGGTCTGGGCATGTGCGGGAGGCAACCAATCGATGTGTCTCTCACATCAATGTTTTTCTCCCTCTGTCTGTCTCCCTCTCACTCTCTCTAAAAATCAATGTAAAAAAACCATATCTATCTATCTATCTATCTATCTATCTATCTTCAGGTGAGGATTAATAAAACAAAACAAAAAAGAAATGTCTGCTTTCTGACAACTGCTCTTTGGCTGAGTTTTTACATCCAAATGGTGTTTCCTGACAGTTCCAGTACAGTGTCCGAAATGGCAAGCGAGGGGGAGGGGAGGGGGAGGGAGGTGA